GAAAATAGTTGTTGCTCCCAGAGGATCCATCACAGGGTGCATCAGTTATTTTGGAGTTTAATCAGGAGTGGATTTGCATGTCAGAATGCAAGGTTTATATACTGTGCAATGCCAATGCAGGTGCCAGCAGTTTGTCTAATAACAGATGTCTGTTCTCCTGGATCAATGAAGATTGACTTTTAACTAGCTAAGTTTGCTTAGTACTATTGAACTAGGAATGAACTTCTCTGAACCTTCATCTGAAGAACAAATAGAGCATTTCTACATCTCCACTGCTCAGGCTATGTTGTGTGCTGCTGGGAGAGCATGCTGTGTCTGCTTGCTGTCTTGTTCTGGGCCTGCCAAATTCCAGAAGACTGTCATGTAGATGTAGCTAAAGTGGCAGTGGGCACATGCCAATAAGCCTGAGATCAGCATTGGGACTAACCTTTGGTGCATGGTCAGCAACTGTTACCGTATGTTTCTTTTGACAATTGGTGCTTGTGGAGGGTGAGTGGAGTGGCACCGGAGCTGGGGAATTCCCACCACTTTGTGCCTTCCTGCTTGGATCCACATTGGATACAGTGCTGCCCCATCCTTCGTTCAGAGGCATGGGCTGGTGCGGTTTCCAGTGTGGAGGCATGGAAGATTACCCAGATTCAGTGTTCTCCTGTTTCTCCGTGCCCCACCCCAGTCCTGCATGCTGGGCTTGCACTGGCATGAGGCATGTGTGAGTGAGGCATGGGTTGAAGGAGGCAGTGAGGGGCACACGGACTCCCCAGGGAACGTGGTATCAACGGGTGAGTTGTGTTTTGCTTAATAAAGTGGACCAGCTATAGCAAGAGGTGTCTGGTCACACCTAGTTCTCCTTGGTTTCATAGAATCATAGAATCATAGAAGTAGGGTCGGAAGGGGCCTTGTAGATCTTCAAATCCGACCCCCTGTCTGGGCAGGGGGAAAACCGGGCTCAAATGACCCCAGTCAGGTAGGCATCAAGCCTCTTCTTAAAGACCCCCAGGGTAGGAGCCAGCACCACTTCCCTTGGAAGTTGGTTCCAGATCCTAGCCGCCCTGACTGTGAAGTAGTTCTTACGGATGTCTAATCTAAACCTACTCTCCAACAACTTGTGGCCGTTATTCCTTGTTATCCTGGGGGGCACTAGGGGAAACAAGGTCTCCCCCAAACCCTTCTGGTCCCCCCTAGTGAGTTTATAGACGGTCACCAGGTCCCCCCTCAGCCTTCTCTTGTGAAGGCTGAACAGGTTCAGGTCCCATAGCCTCTCATTGTAGGGTCTGCCCTGCTGTCCACGGATCATGCGGATGGCCCTCCCTGGACCCTCTCAATGTTGTCCACATCCCTCTTGAAGTGGGGTGTCCAGAACTGGACACAGTACTCCAGCTGTGGCCTGACCAGTGTCGCGTAGAGGGGGA